ACACAAGCAAAAATCTTGTGATTTACAACAATATGGATGGAGTTGGGGAATATTATGCTACGCAAGTCAGCCCGAGAAAAATAAATACCATATGATTTCATTCATATGCGGATTTTAAGAAACAAAACAAATGAGCAAAGTGAGGAAAAGAGAGAAGGTGCAAACCAAGAAACAGACTCTTAACTATAGAAAACAAAGTGATGGTTACCAGAAGGGAGATGGGTGGGAGGATGGTTAAATAGGTGATGGAGATTAAGGAATGCACTTCTGATGAGCACCAGGTGTTGCATGGAAGTGTTGAATCACTATATTTTATACCTGAAACTGATGTTACACTATATGTTAACTAAATGGAATTTAAAAACTAAAAACTAAAAAATAAAAACTAAAAAAATAAATGAATAGGGAATTATCTTCTCTTGATAATAGCTATCTATCAAAAACTGATAGAAAATGTCATACTTTCCCATTAAGCCAAGACACATTAAGATAAAATATTAAGATAAAGAATAAGGTTAGAGTATACCAAAGACATCTTTAATTCTTCTATTTCTTTCACAACCCTTGTTAGATCTGGTTTACTCAAAAAACGTCTAAAATACGACTACTTTTCATGAACTATACTGCTACCACCCTGGTCCCAGCCACTCTTAACTCTCTTCTGTAGAAAACATACATCACATCATCTTAAAACAAATCACATATGCCTAAAACTTTCAATGAGTGGGTACATATCACATTTTGGAAGTGATTGAAATGTTCTGAATCTTGATTATGGCAATAGTTTGATATGAATATATATAATATATATTCATTTAAAGGTCTGCAGCTTATTGAACATCAATTTAATTAATAAAGATTAAAATATGTGTAGGATTAACAGAGCTAAACCTATGAGAAACAAACTGACTTACAAAAACAAAACATTAATATTTTATCATGTCTCTCAGAATAAGTATCAAATTGCTCTCCATTGACGACAAGGTCTTAGATAATTTGACTTGGTGTTCTCTCTGATATCATCTTATTTTCCTCTTCATCAATCTGATCCCTTTAACCTCTTTAACCTCCTTGCTGTTTCTAGAACATCCCAGAAATATTATTTAGGACTTTTGTCCTAATATATCCCTCTACCTAGAATATTGTTTCCTCAGATTTCCACATAGCTAATTATCTCCTTCAAATATGTACTCAAATGTCAATTTCTCAAGGAAGCTAATATAACCAGACTATTTAAAATTGCAGTTATCTCCACCCCCTGTACCCCAATCCGTACCTCATCTATTTTTTCCATAGAATTTGCTACATTCAATTATATAGTTTAATTATATTTACTGTGTATATCCTCTAGTTTAATGAAATTGCTGTGAGGCCAAAACTCTTTGTTTTGTTTACTAATATATCCCAAATTCCCAAGAAAGTGGCTGGTACTTGATATTTATTGAATAAGTAAATTAGTGTGACATTTACTTTAAAATTAGCAAGAAACGAATAAAATATTGCTGGGCAATTTTAAAAACTCAGATGATACTAGATAGTATAATTTTTAGTGTGCCCAGTTCATGAATACATTCATTGATTCATTCATTGATTCATTCATTCAAAAAGGTGAAAAAATCTGTAAAGTAGCTATTAAGGCGATATTTGACTTGAATCATGAAAGATAAGAAATATTTTGAAAGGCAAATACAGTGGATAAGTTTCTATCCAGGAACCCTCAACTAGTTAATAGGAGAACCAGGCTATGAAATTATATAATAATGTAGAAAATAAGAGTATGATACTGAAAGGTAATATTAACTGAAGTAAAACAGGATTTCCAGGCAGAATCCAGACAAAGTGAGTGATGGGAGAGACACAGGGTTGGCAACTGACATAGTAATGATAATGAAAGCCTAAGAGACATAAAAGCAGCAGTAGGTGTTTGTGATGCCTCTACACAAGTTTTTTTTTTAATATTAAACAATAAATTAAATGGAAAGAAGGTGAACAAAAGCCCATGATTTTTTTAACAGTGTAGTTTCAAAAGATTTTTTCTTGTCTATTGTATAACTGTGTTATTATGCAGTTATTTTGTTGTGCTTGGTACATGCAACTAGTCTACCTATTTCCCCTCATTCACCATTAGTTTTGATTTCTTCTTATTGACATTTGACTGTCAAGAACAAAGTTTAATTCCAAGATCTCCCTTCCTTAGACATTGTTTCATTTTCTGGATATTCTTAGAAACTCAAAACTCTTTCTTGTACGAAAAAAAAAATCTGACACTTACTTATTATTCCCTGAATTGTCAAAATAATTTCATACTCTTAGCCTATGCTGCTATGACAAATACCATAGACTGAGAGACTTAAACAACACATACTCTCACAATTTGATAGTCTAGAAGCCCAAAATTAGGGTACAAGCAAGGTTGAGTTCTGGTAAAAGACCTCTTCATGGCTTATAGACACCATTTTCTTGACATATTTTTGCATGGCATAGAAAGAGCTCTGGTCTCTTCATTACCTTGTAAGGGGACCAATCCCATCATGAGGGCTCCACCCTTAGGACACCATTTAAACCTAATTACCCCTAAAATTCTGTAGTCCAAATATCATCATATTGGAAATTAGGGATTCAGAATGTGAATTTTAGGGGCACAAAAAAAAAAAAAACATTCAGTACACAGTAGTTATCCTTAAACTGTTTTAACTGAAACATTTAAAAATCTTAAAGTCAAAATATAAATGAATGAATTTCAAATATTTGGATTTGAAGTAATGTGAAATTCTTTAGAAAGTAGCATTTCTAGTACTTTTCTTAAACCACAATATATAGATGAAAGTTATCCCACCTATATTTAAGCCACGACAGAGTCGACATTTTATCCTAATTATTTGGGAAGTATCATGATGTAGAAAAAAACACTGACCTGTAAATCAAGAGTGTTAGTAATAAAACACATTTCTTAGTGTGAAATAAAGGTACCTATAATAATTGGCCAATAAATAGAAACACAATTTATATTGGAGAAAATAAATAAATATAAGAAATAAAATTATTTAAAAAAATATTGACCACGAGGGCGCCTGGTTTGTTCAGCTGGTTAAGCATCTGACTTCAGCTCAGGTCATGATCCCATGGTTTATGAGTTTGAGCCCCACATCAGGCTCTGTGCTGGCAGCACGGAGCCTGGAGCCTGCTTTGGATTCTGGGTCTCCCTCTCTCTCTGCACCTCCCCCTCTCACGCTGTCTCTCTGTCTCTCAAAAATAAATAATAAAACATTTAAAAAATTAAAAAAAATATATTGACCATGGTTAGTAATTAAAGCAATCCTATGAGATCGTTTATCATATAATAATGAAGTAAACAAAAATGATATATACCTAAATTATATAAATATAACAAATTTTATATGTATTATGTATTTAAGATATCTTACATAGAGCTGTTGAGGCTTTAAGGATGGTGGTACATTTATTCACTGCAGACTGCAAAAAGAGCAGTGTAAACTGGTTTAACCTTTTTCTGCACTTACATGGAACTATGAAGGAAGAGTCATAAATTAGTCAATACTATTTGACTCAGTAATCTCATTACTTGAAATGTATTTCAATAAAAATATCGGCAGATGGGGATGAATACTGGGTGTTACATGGAAACCAACTTGACAATAAACTGTTAAAAAAAATTAACAATAGAATTCCCCTATGACCCAGCAATAGCACTGCTGGGAATTTACCCAAGGGATACAGGAGTGCTGACGCATAGGGGCACATGTACCCCAATGTTCATAGCAGCACTCTCAACAATAGCCAAAACATCGAAAGAGCCTGAGTGTCCATCAAAGGACGAATGGATCAAAATGATGTGGTTTATCTATACAATGGAATACTACATGGCAATGAGAAAGAATGAAATCTGGCCATGTGTAGCAACATGGATGGACCTGGAGGGTGTTATGCTGAGCGACATAAGTCAGGCAGAGGAAGACAGATACCATATGTTTGCACGTATAGGAGGATTAGGAGGAAATTAGCGGAGGACCGTTTGGGAGAAGAAGGGGAAAAATAGTTGTGGAGATGGAACGAGGCAAACCATGAGAGACTCTTGAATGCCAAGAAAAAACTGAGGGCTGATGGAGGTGGGGGAGGAGGGGACGGGAGGTGATGGGCATGGAGGAGTGCACTTGTGGGGATGAGCACTGGGTGTTATATGGAAACCAACTTGACAATAAACTATTTAAAAGAAAAAGATTTAAAACTTAAAATATTAGCAGATGGAGAAACAAACTTTAGGAATAAAGACAATGATTGCAATACTGTCTGTAAGAGAAAAACTTTGGAATTAAATTAAAGATATAAAATTAGGAGAATTGTTTAATAAAATATATGTAGTATACATTCATTTAAATAATTATAAAACTTTGATAATTAAAGGGGAAAGTTCATACTACATTGTTAAGAGACAGAGGCAGGAAAAAATACTATGGGATCACAACTAAGCAAAAATCTGCATGTTTGTGAACAAAGATAGTAATATGCAAATATGAATTTATGTATATTAATGAGGTGGAATTTGGAGTGACTCTTGGTTATTTTAAAATATTTTTGTGTTTATATTATATTATCAATTTAAAAAGTTCAAATTAATTAAATCAGTTGTGAGATCTTAGATACATAATGTACATTGGTAGAACTCGGTTCCTACACAAACCCTAGCTATTGGATGAGTATTCAGTACTTCTCATCTTTTGGTGAACATTAGAACCACCCAGGGAAGCTGTTGAACATGCAAACTTCTGACTCCATCTCAGATTTTGACTTGATACGTCTGGGGTGGAGTCCAGGGACCTGTATTTTTGTAAGAAATAATAAAAATGATATCCAAGTTCCTTTCACTTCTGACATTATATATTTTGGTGTATTCTCTAAAAAACCAGGAACTCTCAATAATTAATAGATAAAAAATATTTTACTTTTTCTTTTCTTTCTTTTTATTTCACTTGATTCCACAGCCTGAAGCGAAGTGGATTCATAAGCTGCTTTAAAAAACAACTGAGCACTTGGTTTCACAGAATGGCCTTACCACAGCGAACACTGGCTAATCCGAAATGAGCATTTCTACTTCTGTGGAACTGTAATAAATAAAAACAAGTCTTCCATGAGTCCCAGGAATTGATTTTTTTGCATGTAGTTTATAGAGGTAATTTTAGTGGTACATGCTTCACTTATTAAATGCTTGAAGTACTCAAGCCAAAATGCTATAACATTTTACCCCATGTTCTGAAAATTTAATTTCGGAAACCATTTCTGAATTTAAGCTAAAACTTAACAATCTTCCTTTGGATACCTTTATCATGTTTTGTTTCATCTGTATTTTCTTAGCATTAAGAAAAAGTAAACAAATAATGGAAGGAAAGAACCATATCTTTTATACTCTCAAAAGAAATAGAGAGTTATATGTAGCCAGTAACCCCCACTTCCTACATACATACACAGACCTCTAAATGTAATAATTTACCTTTAGACACTTTGTTCTTTAGTTTATTACTTTATTTAATGATAAGCTGCAAGTCACCATGAAAGAATAACACACATTTGTCAATTATTTTACATATTTCCATCAAAATGCTTGTAATGTGTATTCCTGAAAGCTGTAAAAGGGTGTGGAAAGAAAACGGATTCTATTACATTACATTAGATAATTGCCTTAATCTGTGTTCAGGCTGCTGTAAGAAAAATACCATAAAGGGAAGGGAGGCAAGATGGCAGAGAGGTAGGGAGCTCCGTACATTGCACTCGCCCCCATATCTCACAAGAAGAAGGCCTGAAGCCATAGGAACCCTTACAGAATCCAGGAGTTTGGGAGGAAAAGGAGACAGAGTCTACTGAGAAAACCTTATAGCATGAGTGTGAACTGGGGAAGATAAAAACAGGCCAACCTAGAGACACGGAGGGAAGGGAGGGAGCCCCTTTTGCGGGGAGATGCAGTGAGTCTAGGGGAAAAGAAAGAGTGGCTGAAACTGCTCAAGACACTGTCCTTGTCTCGAGAGAGAAAATACTCGGCTCTGGACACAGAGGGATTCGGTTTCCTGCTGTCCAGCTGACCCTGAGTGGGACTCAATGGTCCCAGGCAACCCCGGGAGAAACAGCTGCTCACTTGCCAGCTCCATCTGGAGGGGAAGCAGCTCATCTAAAGCCGCGCTGCCACTCTTCTGGCTCAGCTCGATTTCCAGAGGCTTGAAATTGCTCAGGGGGACTTGGCCTATGGGTTTATATTTCAGGCGATATCAGTGGGGTGCACAGACTAAGATCAAGAAGAGAGACCTGGCTTGGGATATAGAGCACGGCCCACCTTGACTATGCCTGTGGCACAGAGAGATCGGAACCAAAAGAGTGAGTTGCAACACCTGGTTCTAGAAGGGACTGGGGAGCCACCATATTTCTCCCCATAACAACCTAGGCAGGACCTCAGAGAGCCTCGAACCGGACTGAACTCAATGGAGGTTAAAACTCGCCTACACAAAACCACGCCCATCCTCTCTAGAGAGCTTTATTTATTTATTTATTTATTTATTTATTTATTTTACTGCAGCCCGGCGCAAGAACAACATGAATGCACTGTCGTGATTAATTCTAGATCAATTCATTCTATTCAGATATAATTTCCCTTGTCTCATTCGTAACCCTCCACTCTGTTGGACTGGGCACTCCGGTCACTGGTTTGCTTAAACAGTAACATTTAATCCATTCTCTAGATGTATATTCTACACCTCCACCACTAACTTTTTATCTCTCTTTCTCTCTCTGGAGTAATCAGACTATATAGTTTCTCTGAATAACATTATCTTCTTTTCTTTCTCCTCGCATCTAACCATATTCTCCTCTTTCTCTCTCTGAATTATGTCTCTTAGTCTCTCTGTCCTGTCACTTCATTTCCAATTTCGCTTCCTACCTGCCCTGTCATTTCTCGGCACTGCATACACCCAGGTCTTTATTTGTAGCTGGGATTTCTGGTTTTATGCTTTTAGACTGTCCTTTCTCTTTTTTTTTCTTTTTTTCTTTTCTTTTCTTCTCTTTCATTTTTTATTTATTTTTATTATTATTTTTCCTTCCCCCCTTCCTCTATTTTTTTCTCCTTTCCTTTTTTTTTTTCTTTTTCTTTTTCCCCTCTCGGTTTCTGTGTTTGTTGGACTTGTCTGTGCATTTGTATACCTTTGTTCCCTGTGTGTTTGTCTGTCTGTTTTCTTTTCCAGGGATACCTCAAGAAACAATCCAAACTACACATGGTGGAGAGTCCCAAATACCACTACAAGTAGGGTAATAAAATAACCAAAGTCTCAACAAGAGAGACCAAGAGACACCATTCAAAGAACACTTACTACACGGACAGGAAAGAGTCAAAGAGCCTTCATTATACAGCAGTACTCGCAGGTGCAAAGTGCATAACAAGTTTTAAAACTAACAAGAGAAACAAGCTAAACCAACATGACGAAACGGAAGACCTCTCCTTGAAAGAAATTCCAGGAAGAAATGACAGCTAAAGAATTTCTCAAAACAGATATAAGCAAAATAACTGAACAAGAATTTAGAACAATTGTCATAAAATTAATCGCTGGGCTTGAAACAGGCATGGAAGACATCAGAAAAACTATTGCTACAAGGACTATGTAAAAATAGTCTTAAAGATAGTTGTGATGAATTAAAAAATGATATAAATGCGATGTATAATAACATGGAGGTGCCCAATGTATGAACTGAAGAGGCAGAGAGGAGATAGGTGAAATAGAAGACAGAATTATAGAAAGAGAGGAAACTGAGAAAAAAGAGAGATAAACTGATCCAAGAACACGAAGGGAGAGTTTGACAACTCAGCGATAAAATCAAACAGAACAATATCTGTATCATAGGAATTCCAGAATTGGAAGAGAGAGGGAAAGGCGATGAAGGAGTCCTTGAACAAATTATAGCAGAGAACTTCCCAAATCTGGAAAAGGAAACAGGCATTGAAATCCAAGAGGCACAGAGAACTATGCTCAGACGTAACTTAAGTCGATTTTCTGCATAACATATCATAGTGAAACTGGAAAAATATAAGGACAAAGAGAGAATTATGAAAGCACTAGGGATAAAAGGGCCCCAACATAAAAAGAGAATCCTATCAGAGTGTTGACAGACCCTTCTATGTAAACTGGGTAAGCTAGAAAGGAATGGCAGGAAAACTTCAATGTGATGAACAGAAAAAATATGCACCCAAGAATCTATCAAGTAACACTGTCATTCAGAATAGAAGGAGAGATAAAAGTGCTCCCAAATAAACAAAAATTTAAAAAATACACCACCACTAAAAAGCCTTACAAGAAACCCTGAGGAGGACTCTATTAGGGAAATGTTGCAAGGAATGCAAGGTACCAGAGACACCACAAAAAGCATGAATCATACAAAGAACATGATGGCTCTAAACCCATATTTTTCAATAATAACACAGATTGTAAATGGGCTAAATACCCGAGTCAAAATACATAGGGTAGCAGAATGGATAAAAAAAAAAAATTCCATCTATCTGTTATCTACAAGAAACTCATTTTAGACTGGAGGACAGCTTCAGATTGAAAGTAAGGGGATGGAGAAAAATATATCATGTTTCTGAAAGTCAAAAGAAAGCCCGAGTAGCTATACTTATATCAGATAAACTGGACTCTAAATTAAAGACAGTAACAAGGGATGAAGAAGGGCATTATATAATAATTACAGGGTCTATCCATCAGGAAGAGCTAACAATTATAAATGTCTATGCACCAAATATGGAAGCACCTAAATATAAAAAACAATTAACAACAAACAGAAACAATCTTATGGATAAGAATGTGGTAATAGCAGGGGACTTTAATACTTCACTTACAGCAATGGATAGATCAACTAGACAGAAAATCACTACAGAAACAATGGATGTGAATGACAGATTGGACAAGATGGATTTGACAGATATATTAGAACTGTACATCCCGAGGCCATGGTATTCACTTTCTTCTCAAGTACTCATGGCACATTCTCCAAGATAGATCACATACTGGGACATAAAGCAGCCCTCAATAAATATAAAAGACTTGAGATCATACCATGCACACTTTCAGATCACAATGCTAGAAACTTGATATCAATTACAGGAAGAAGTCTGGAAAACCTCCAAACACATGGAGGTTAAAGAACACTCTGCTAAAGAACGAACAGGCCAATCAGGCAATTAGAAAAGATATTTTAAAATATACGGAAACAAATGAAAGTGAAAATACAACAATCCAAACTCTATTGGATGCGGCTAAGGCAGTCCTAAGAAGAAAGTACATTGCACTCGAGGCCTATTTCAAGAAATTAGAAAAAGTACAAATACAAAATATAACTCCCAAAGGAAATAGATGAAGAGCAACAGGAGCACCCCAAACCCAGTAGGAGAAGAGAAATAATAAAAATCAAGGCAGAAATAAACAATATAGAAACCAAATAAACAGTTGAACAGAACAAGGAAACCAAGAGTTGATTTTATGAAAAAATAAAATTGACAAACCTCTAACCAGGCTTCTAAAATAGAAAAGAGATAGCACTCAAATAGACAAAATCATGAATGAAAATTGACTTCTTACAACCAACCCCTCAGAAATACAAGCAATTATCAGGGAATACTATGAAAAATTATATGTCAACAAATTGGACAACATAGAAGAAATGGAAAAATTCCTAAACACACACTCACTACCAAAATTCACATGGGAAGAAATAGAAAATCTGAACAGACCCATAACGAGTGAAGAAATCGAATCAGTTATCAAAAATCTCCCAACAAATAAGAACCCTGGACCTGACGGCTTCCCAGGGGAGTTCTACCAGACATTTAAAACGGAATTAATACCCATTCTTCTCAAGCTATTCCAAAAAATAGAAATTGAAGGAAAACTTCCAGACTCATTTGATGAAGCCAGCATCACTCTGATTCCTAAGCCAGACAGAGATCCAGCAAAAAAAGAGAACTACAGGCCAATATCCTTGATGAATACGGATGCAAAAATCCTCAACAAGATCCCTGCAAATCGAATCCAGCAGCACATAAAAAGAATCATCCACCAAGATCAAGTAGGACTCATTCCTGGGTTACAGGGCTGGTTCAACATTCGCAAATC